GTTGTGAAGGTCTTGAGAGAGCTCTTTATTCCATGCCTTTTTACACCTCCCTTTCTTCATGTGTTCAATACTTTTTCCCTGTGCCATTCCACATTATTACAAATAACTTCATTTCTGGACATTTATGGTTTGATTTCTTTGTATGTATGGATCACTTGGGTTGTTACCAACAACTGGTGAAAATTTCATGTCATTAGCACCTCTACTAATATATTTACTGAGAGAAATGGTGACATGTTCAATACTTATTTTACCCGCTGTAAATATTCTCACCATTAGAGTTAGACAGGCAGCATCTCACTAAGATCAGTCATTGTGGATTCGGCCTGCTGAGCCCAGAAACTGTTACTGGAAGTCCAGAGCAGGTGGAGTTCACAGGATAAAGGTTCTTTGTTGGAAAATATCTTCAGTTTAAACTGCATCAGTAGGCCTATGGGAAATAAAGACCAAATAAAAGGGCATCATTTGTTTTTTTATTTTGTGGAAATGTTTTATTTATTAAATAAATTTCTGTAAATTATCTGTCAATGTGATGGAGAGCTTTGGTTTTGATTAGATTGCACATCTGAGGTGTGTTTGATGCAGCTGCAGGATGTTCAGGGATAAGTAAGTGAATCTGTTGAAAAATGATACCTGTCTCTAATCGAAGAGGAAAACTCTTCACAGATGTCTGGTTTTATGAAGTAATTCTGCTTACAGATCAGTCAAATTCATTAAAAATCTGCTTCAGGTGGGAGGGGACCAGCAGAGACTCACCTGGCAGCAAGAAGGTTTAATGTTTTTACCATGGTGACAAACTCAGAGTTTCTCCAAACGCAGGGTTAGCTCACTTTCAGTTGTTCCTAAACCCACTTTCTAAAACACTTTTCTGTAAATGCCTTTACCCAAACAAATATAATTAAAATGTTTTAATAGTTTTATTGTTAGTATTACTTCTCTCTCTTTGAATTTGACTTAGTTTATTCAAATAYAACAATCCTAATTTACTGCGTTTATATTTGTGATCTTATTACTAGTTAAATGCTGCTCATATAGTTAGCTGCTGCTATGAAAYCCAAATATCTGTCTGTTTTGTAATGATCCAACCATTGGATTGGAGCTCTTGTTTTAAGGCTGTCAAAAGACAACCTTTATGAATCGAGCTGTTTAAATCTCAGATTGACGTGCACAGTTTGTATTTTTGAACACAGTAGACTGTAAAATGGAAATGAGTTTTTGCAGTTATGAAYGAAATGAATGGATCGTACTTCATTATTGTGGAATCCTCCATGACATCACACAGATAGTGRGATGAATGAATAATTGTCTGTAAAACCTGTTGGGCTACATTARCTGAGGCCCAAACCATAGTTTCACATTTGTTTTGGAAATAGAAACGCCCTCATTAAGTGAATATAGATACTGCCCAACAGGCTGGAAAACTAGAATATTATGAAGTAAAACAAATACAGTGGCAGCTTATTAATCAGACCTGTGGCCTCTTTAAACTCCATGTTTGTCTGTGAATTCTTGCAGCGCAGTGAGTCATGTCTGCTGGCAGCGTTGGCAGTCTGAGGCACAACTCAGGACCTGGGAGGAAAAGCCAAGAGTCCGTCTARGAGGAGCGCTGTGTAGACACACAACCTACCCCACAGCCTAAGGATGCTAARGGAAAGGAGCCTGAGACCATCGGCTTCATCCCTGGTTCAGCCAAGCCTTCGACTGAAGCTCAAACCTGTAATCCCTGCTCTCCTCCGAGGAGCTGTAAGACTGTAGTGTGCAGCGTGATCACCTGTGGTCTGTACAGGGTGTGCCAGCGATCCATCCTCGCCCCGTGTATGGCCCCAGATGAAAACCCTCCAGATGAACCAGAGAAGGTGAGCCTCCGAGCCGTGGACCCTGGAGACACCAACGAAGAGGCTGACGAGTGGTCTGACTTCCGCATCAATGGCGTCAAAGTGACCAGTCCGAAGGAATACTTAGACAGTAACACCAAACAGGCAGAATACGCCCCTTCGTCTTGTGTTCATTCCCAGCCAGGATATCCGTTGATGCATGACCCCATGAGGTTTGAGGAGTGGGAGGATGGTGAAGAAGACGTGGACTCCCTGATCACCAAGAAGCTGCTGGAGCTCTACTCTGAGTATCAGATTGAGGAGCTGGCACGGTGCACCTCAGACTCTTTGTTTGTGAGGAAGAGCAAGGCCATCTCTCAGCTCATCAACTCCTTGGCAGAGGAGCACAAGATGGGTGAGCAGGAAGCTGAGTGCCGTCTGGTGCGGGGCATCATTCGGATCAGCACCCGGAAAACCACAAAGAAGAGGCCTCCCTTATCCAGGGTAGAGAGGACGCTGTCGGACAGCGGGAACGAGACCATGACCGCGAGCGTCTCCTTTCCTGAAAGTAACAACAGTAAGTAGAGAGAGTTTTTACTCATTTATCAGCAACAACTCAATGATGAAAATCCTTTCTGTTCCTTTTCTSTAGACAACAGATCAGATCCTGATTTCCAGATTTCTGATTTGACTTCATCTGACAAGTTTGCCAGGGAAATATGGAGAAACAACAGAGGTAACAATTCAGCTTTATTCTGTTACTAATCATTGCATATACAATATGTGTAACTTATCATAGGTGGATGCTTCACTGAGCATCACTGTCCTTATTGTTGTTATTGTCAGCATGTAGAGCAATGGGTTAATATAACACTGGTCTGATATCATGGTGTTCTCTGTAGCTGTGTTTCCATTGACCAGGAAAATGTGCAAATTAGAATTTCAAAAATAAATTTGCTCAATGGAAACACGTCAATTTCGAAAAAAAAAAGTTTTTCGACAAAATATTTTTGCACTAGGATGAGGTGGTTTTTCAGTCGTATCTAAATTGGTGTTTTTCACAAAACTACAATGGAAACAGTTTTTTCACATCACAGGAGTCACGTGATCAACAACCGTCTGTTTCTACTGGTGAAAAAG